CAGTTTATTTATTATGTATTTATGTGATAAGTATTCATGTTTACATTAAAATCAAATAACATACTGTTTCCCTATAGCAAACAAAGGGTTGGTTCAAAGATGTATGTAGAATTTAAAGACATAGTTATTAATATCTATGGATTGATTAATTTATACTATTTTCATCTCTTATTTAAATTTGTTCTAAGCCACTGAACTTTTCTATGTTTACTGAAGTTAAGATGTTTAATCATATCAAGATATTTATCCCTTCAAGTTAATTGGGTATATTAATATCTTGTCTGACAAAATCAAAATTATTGTTTAAAACTTTTCAGAAGTCTTTTAAAATGTCTTCAGAAAAAATAATAAAATGCTAAAAAAAAACCCAAAAAATCCCCAAAATATGTCTTTTATATCTTTAAAGTTGTTCTGGTTTATATTTTTAAATGATTTCAAAATTTTTAAAACTTGTACAAACTAAAGTATATGGCCACGGATGCATTTTTATATAAATAGGCCACATCTTCACCATTAAAGGAGCAAACCTGAGTTTTTATTTGGATTTTTCACATTTGCTATTTCAAAATACAAACTATCAAAGCAGTTGTGTAATTCTGCATTTGAGATGCCATATAATTGCTTTTGTGGAGGTAAAGGAAATATGCATTACTAAGATAAATCTTGAACGTAAACTCTGCCTAGGAATTTCCTCTGCATCACCAGAACCATGACCTTTCTAGCTCCCGACTGTTATTAAAAAGAGCTCATGCCAACAGAGTGGCTGACATTAAACTCGACTCCTTGCAAGTGAGGGTCCACATCTTTCACTTACTGGTAAGGGCTAGGGGAGCATATAATATATATAATACTTGTCACAGACCAGAGAATTCTAAAAAAAAAAAAAAAGTCTTTAAGTAACTACCTTTTAGCCAATTGAGAATACTTCTTTCAGCACAATCTAACAAAAACAAACATGAAACTAATGACCCTGAAAAATATTTGTATAGTTGTCTTTGGTCATAGTCCTGTTGGCACAATCTCAGCCTTCAGTTTTTCATGTCCTGTGGATTGTAGTTAATCATAAATTCTGAATTTATTATTTTCTGAGCTTTCTTTTGTAAATTACATGCTATCCCAATACTGTATGTTTTGAAGGGTCATACCCCATAAAAGAAGCCTGTCATGTTAGCAAAATTAATCAATATAAGGCCTTCCTTTGCCCCCCACTGTTGCATCCTGTTAAAAATTCTTGTCTTTAAGATGCCAGACACAAGGTTTATTTGATGATCTTGTTGACCTTGTTTATGTCTTCACTTATAAAAAAAAAGTCTGCAGGAAAGTTCTGAATTGAAAGTACGAATTTAGTGTACTAGAGATTATGGTAAGTAGAAGATTTTTTCTGAGTTGATTGAGAGTCTTTCTTGGTGATATGTGTGGAAAGAGGGTTCCTGACTCAAAAGACCTATTTTAAATTCCAGTGTTTCAGTTTCCTCACTTTGTAACAATATGCAAGTTACTTCTCTGAGGTTTCCCATCCTTATCTATGAAAGAGGAAAATAATTTATAGGTTTACAGTACAGATGAATAACAAAATATGCGTGAGAGTGCCTGATGCATATGGATGTTCAATAAAAGTAATAATAAAATAATTGGGAGAATACAATTAGAAAGAGAACCAGGTTATATTTCTTAAATTCTTTTTCCACTTAAATAAGAAAACATGTGAAGTCACTAGCACAGTGGCCAGAATACAGTTGGCCATCAAGGGATGTTACTCTTTCATTTAACATTTCAAGTTAACTTATTTGTTTGGTTCCCAGGGCTGAAAGGATGTGTATATAATCTTGACTCAACTTTCAACAGGCCTCAAGGGGATAAAGCACGTATTAGGAAATATGGTCAATTCTTATTTTGTGGTCAGTTATCAACATTTACAATACAGTTGAATTGCTGAACGTGTCAGAGGTATCTCATTAGCAGTCAGTTTGGTGGAGATGGGTATAGTCACCAAACATCCACCACGTCACCCATCATCAGCCAGCTTATGTGTTTAGACATGTAGATTATCTATGATCTTTCCTGTCCATATGAACTAGAACAGAATGGCACACATTTATTTTTCTCTCTCCCCTTGGATTCTTTCCTCTTCTTTTCTCCTAGTGAAAAAGTAAAGTTTCTTGTTTACTTGGGCTTTTCCTAAAGAACAGACCTTATTGTACTCATTTGGCCTCCTTAGAGCACCTTTTTTGCAAACAGTTCTTCACTATCCAGCAGAGTTCTGGCATCTGGGAGACCCCGCAGCGGGAGCAGGGACGAGGTATGAACTTAGGAACTATTTTGGGAGATAGGAAAATGCAGGGAATTTGAGGTCAATCGTTCACTCTGAACTACCAGAGGAGTACATTGGAAACATCTGAAATAGGCATTTTTCTGCATTTTAATTATTAGATCAAGTCCTGGGTTGATAAGAAAATTAATTCAACAATAAATCAATGTAGTTTGAAAGAAAGACCAGGAGTTTTTCTTATCTGAAGAAGAAAGCACTGAGGAAAAAAAAGCATGTCAAAAGGCCTGATCTTCATTCTTAGTTTTGTACCAGACTGAGTCCCAGAAAGGGTAAAACAATCCAGTTCTTTAATTAGGCAGAAGTTCTTAACCATTTCTTTAGATCATGTCTGTGGTATCCTCCTTGTATCTTACATTATTGATGGAGTAGGCAAAGCCCAGTGACACTGTGTGTGGTCACCCAGCAATTCCCAGGCTCAGGTCTTAAGCTGCTTTCTTGTGAACTAGGATTCCACTTCAGCCGTCCTTCATGAAGTGTTCCCTAGAATATAAACTTTATGATCAAAGTGTACAGAAGAAGTTATTTTCTAAAGGAAAGCAGGAAGGAAGAATTGATTGACCATTGCTTCTAACCTAATATTATCTGTTGGAAATTTTATGGAAGCTGGAAATCAAAATGCTTTTACTTCAGAGAATGGGACATTATCCTAGAACTAATGGTGATTGTCAAAGTTCAAGAGTTTCTGCTAAGTGTTCAGGGAAAATACAAGTAAATAAACATTACTATATGTAAGTGAAGCCTCATTAAATGATAATTGTAGATCCAGGCATCCTCATCAGTTACAGAGGAAAGTAACTACTATGAATATGTTGTCTTAGTGTCCATAAGGGAGGATCATGGACCCATATACCCCTGCTATGGAATATTATACAGTCATTAAAAATGAAATAGCTTTACAGGTATTGACATGGAAGATTATCCATGGTAAATTGTTTAGGGAAATAATAGTGCAGAACACTATTCAGAGTGTGATCTCACTTTTGTAAAAACAACATCTACAAACACATATGGATAGAGGCATCCACTTCATTAAGAGATGGAACATGCTTCAAGGGTTAACACTGTATTCCCTGAGGTATCAAGAAGAAATAAAGAAGATGGGAACAGTGGCAAGGAAGGAGAGGGAGTGTTAACTTTTTAATCTACTCACATCTGTACTGTTTAGGATTCATTTCCTAAACAGTATTTTGTAATATATCATATAAAATATCTCTGTGTTTCTGGTGGTTCGAAGCTCCATTCTGCAGAATCATGATGTCAGTCAGCTAAATGCAAAATGACAGGTATCCCTCCACCTGAAGAAACTCTCTAAAAATTACAATATAAATCATCACACTGGTCAATATCAGCTGTCACATGTCATACAGATTATAGGAAGAGAGAGAATGAAATCCAGAACTTCTTATAATGGAAATCAGTGCATCTTGTTTGGATGGAATCGTAGTAACAGAAGGGAAATGTGTAGTTAAAAAAGATGCTGAAAGTATACAAATATTTTCATGTTGTGAGAAAGATATGCTGCTGGTCTGTTATGACACTTAACATCTTAGATACTGATCGTCATCCTATACCTTCCTTATGACGAGTTCCATCTCAACGTAGAGGGAAATAATTTCCATGGAAACGAATTCATTAACCAATGAACATGTTTGTATTAGGAACCTAATGTGTCTAGATATGGGTTGGGGAAGGGGAAACATAAAGATGAGTAAGAGCCAAGAACTGCCTCGTGGTGTTTATAAACTAATGGAGAAGGAAGGTGGTGCACAGATTTTAGAATGCCACGTGGACTAGTACACATACTGCTACAAACTATACGGCTTCAGAATAGAGTGGTTGGATGGTCTCTTCAAAAGGAGGTGTTTGTTTCCTATTTTGTATAAGAATAGGAAACACACGAAAATCATTATAGCACAACAGAAAGTGTCAGAATGGAGAGGTGATACAGAGGTAAGAGAAAGGAAGTGATTAATAGGCAGTAATCCTGGTAGAAGCCTGAAGAGAACCTAGGGGGAGAGGAAGGATATTATCCAAAATACCTAAAAGAAGGGAGAGGGCCTGCGTGCACAGGCAGGGTGCTCTGAGGCAAAGGAAAAGGAAACTCCCAGGGCCTCCTGGTAACAGCTTTGACCTTCTCGGGTCTGGAGAGAAGCTACATCATCACGGAGACCAGAAGAATAGTTCTGGGCTTGGGAGCCTTGGGAAGAGTTGGAATGGCTGTCGTGAAGGATGTCCGTCAACCAGGAACGATTAAAAGGGTTGCAGAGCATCATGGAGGTGCCAGCTGAAACTGAGGAGCATGAATATTTAATGAAACCAATAAAAAGAAAACTTTTTCATTACTTTCTCTAGCAGTGTGGCAGCCTAGGCACAGGGACATAGAAATTCAGCTTGGCTAGAATACATGTTCTGTAAAAGTCAAATGATTCTTATATTGAAAACTGCATATGAAAATGCACTGGAAATTAGTTAAATAATTGCATCACTTCAGATTTCACTTTGTCAACTTATTTTTTTCTCCTGAATTTTTACAGTCAAGTCAAACCACTGTATTTCCATAAGCAAGAGGGAACAATATTCCATTCTTTAAAAGTTAACCAACCAAGTAATGCCATTAGAACATCTAAAGTTTCTAGCTTACAGTTGCTTCTCATACATTATGTATTTTTAGGCTGGAAAAACTAATAACATCCTTTTTGGAAGACCGGGATCCAGAAAGTAGACTAGAGGTTGGCGGCGATATGCGTAAAATTCATCATTGTTTCCATCATTTAAAGGTAAGTCTATTTCCCTTAATAGAAGCTATTGCCTGTCCTTTTCAAACTACAGTAAAGCTTTCTTTGTTAACCAACTCTTTAAAGATTAGGACCCAGTTCCATATGGCCAGAGTGGTATGATTTTCGAACCAAGACTGTGATTATCATTGAATTTTTTCAGAGGTTTTATCTTGCCAGTGAATAAACTGAGACTATGGGCTTCTAATTCTTTTGCCAGGAATCTTTACCTTCTACACAGAATAGTTCCATAATCAAAAAACATTTATTTTCAAGGTATGGCAAGGGAATTGTGTCCTTCATTTTTCACCAGCAGTTTTGATCTATCCATGTAAATCCTGTTTTTCTCTGCCTTAGGTTTTACCTTTTATGATGCCTCAGTGGGACCATCATTAATCTTTATTTCTACCTCCCTTGTAATTTGGCATATTTCACTAAAATAATAAACATCTATTGTGAGTCTATATGGGCCAGGGATATTGAAGGCAAACTTGGATAAGTCAAGAAGACATATATGTAAATAATAATTATAATATGTGATGAGTGCTATTTTTAAAAGTGTGCGTCAAGTGGCTGGGTATTATGGAGAAAGGGAAAGAAGTTCAAGAAGAGGTAATGTTTGAGCAGGGAATTCCCAGGTCACGGGAGGAGAGATGAGAAAGCAGAGGAGAATGAGGAAGGAGGTGGGGAAGAGGACAGAGAGAAGGGGGAAACGGCCACGCAAAGGCAGCTGGATCTCAAAGACAAAGGGGGCAGCAAAGGGCGCACACGCCTGATTTGTGCAAGGAATTGCTCATGGCAGAAAGAGTCAAAGAAATAAAGAACTTTGGGGTAGGAGTATGGCTGCCAAGCTCTTATTTCATCTTACAGAAACTCCTGAATGACAAGAAGATTCATGGAAAAAGCATAGTCTCCTCTGAAATCAAAGAGCAAGACTGCCAAGAACCAGTGAATATAAAAGAGGAAGAGTATAAAAAGCTACAAGATATTCTGCAGCAGAGAGAGAATGAAATCAGTATCCTTTCCGAAGTGATTCAAAACTCCTCCTCTACTGGCTTGGAAGGAGGAGTGGGGACCCTAGATGTCATCCCCCAGCCTCATCCCACCTTCCTTCCAGTTCACATTGCTTCTTCCTGTTTGGAAGGATGTTTCCCTTCAGCAAACAAAATGTAGCAACTAGTGAAAAACAGAGTTATAAAAGAAAAATGTTCACTTTGTTTTTAACCCAATATAGTTACTATTGTGGGGAATATTTCAGATTATTGAGAAGTATGAGCTTTTTTACACCATCTCTTAACCTTAAATTTTAAAAATATGTATATATATATATATATTTCAAATATATATACATATGTATATTTAAAATATATAAAGACTGCTCTGCTGTGCTTTTTCTGTTTGAGTCCTGAGCCAGTTAAGTTAGCACGTGATCTTTAGGTACCTAACCGGACACCAGGTTGGCCACAGCATCACCCTATCCCGGAATTTCTGGTTGGTGAGTGAGTGAAACTTAAATGATGGTTGAAAAATGACAAACAGTATTTAGCTTATGAAGAACAGAGATTGACTTAAATGTAACTTTTTATTTAGAAGCCAGATCTGCTGCTACAGGTTCCACTTACAAAAGTTCCCAAATTTGGAAGTGAGTTTAGATGAGTGTTCAAAATAGAATTCTTGCTGGCTCCAGGGGGCAGTGTATTTTGGGTGCTGAAAGTGGTAGCAGTCCATGGCAGCTGCCTCCTGTTACAGACTAGGTGGTTACTTCTAAGGCCCTGTTAGGTGGGTAGACCTCTGGGCTCCCCAGCATTTCTTTAGTATTGTTTCTTATTTTATCTTCCAAACTTCTTGTAAAAGATTTGACATTTTCATTACACTTGCAGACTTTAAACATGCACAAGAAATTATTTTGGTCAGTTCTTCATAAACAGATTTTTTTTGTTCATTTTTTAAAATTGCTAAAAGGTATTTTAGCTTCAGCTAATGTGAAAAATGCATAGAATTAACTGACACGAAGGGAATCCAGTAATAAAGAGGTAAAAGCAAACCACATACAAGGTAGGCACGCTGCCTGATTAACTTCAGTCTCTAATTTTAGTTGAGTATTAGCAGACCCTGTGTGTCTTATTCAAGTGTGTTTTAGCTGCTTTATTATCCAGCCAGTCCCAGGAGGTTCAGCTGTGAGCTACACTCCCACGCAAGCCCTTGTCTGTGGGCGCTGCCCACAAGTGCCGTCCCCTTGCATTCCTTTTCCTCTCCCTGACCCTCTCTGTCTCCAGGGAGGGTCCCCGCCTAGACCTCAGCCCTGGCCCCAGCCCCAGTCTGAGCTCTGCTTCTTCTCCTGGCCTTGGTCCTAGTTTGGGATCTTTTCCTCTAAATGCTCCTACCAATTTCTTAATCCCCTTCTGGGCTTATGAATGTCTGTGCATATAGGAGGGATGAAATGAGATATGACAGAGAGGGAACAGTCTAGGATTGTTCATGTATGTTTATTTAAAAAAGAGAGTGAGAGAGAGAATACATCATCTCCCTTCATCCCTGGCAAATCCAGACACCACTATTCACGCGGGGCCACCCTAGCTTCTTTACTGACTGTGAATATCCTGAGCAGGGGCCCTTCCTTCTGAGACTCAGATGCAAAATGATGGTGTGTAGTAGGCCTGGTGAAAGAACGCTGGACTTAAAGTTCACACCTGGATGGACAGGCCAGATCTTCATTCATTAGCTCTACACCCCCCTGGGGGAAGCTGTTGCCTGCCCCTGATGGGAAGGAACGTAGCAGAAGGCCTGCCCTTGTGGACTGAGCAGGCTGGCAAGGCCACTTTCCGGAAAGTGCTTTGGCACTGCAGAATGTTACATAATGGAAGGTGTGACACTGTGGACAACAGGTAAACTCAGGTGAGGGAAAAAGAGCAGCAGAGATTCCCTCCTCACAAAGTTTATTCTCAAAGGCTAATGACCAAGAAAGGCCCTGAAATTTCATACTTTCCCACAGTCAGACTGAAGGCTATTTTCATATCTTTTTTTGTAGACCAAGAATGCTAAGACTGTGACAGGAGAAATAAGGAAAATATGGCTTAGAGGGGAAAAAAAAGTGACAATGCTTGAGCTCAACAAAGGAGTAATGCAAGCAAAGTGACAGTGAATGACATTAAATGTTCTTGGAAAGGGACTGGAAGTGGTGTCATTCCAGTGACATTACCATTTTGAATAAAGTTCCGGCATCCCTTCACAAAATATGTAATGGGGTGTCATCTAGTACCCCACATGGCACTAGACATAAACGGAGGCCCGAGGTAAGCGGAACAGGGAGGGGAAGATGGCAAAGGAAAGGGAGAAGGAAGGCAGCAAAGAAGAGCAGTCCGCACAGTGATCTTTACGGCGTGTGGATCTCGCTTCTCTGCTTGCAGTCTTCCGGGGCTTCCTGCTACCCTTACAATGAAACTCAAAGTCCTTGCTCCGAATTACGAGGCCTGTGTGGTCCTACCCCCAGGCAGCCCCAGACTGTATTTCTTACATCTCTGCACTTAGACTTTGGCCACAGTGACCTTCTGGTTGTTCTAGCACAGGGTTTCTCAGCCTCAGTACAACTGGACCAATTGGGGCTTTATACTTTTTTGTTGTGGGGGCTGTCCTGTGTCTTGTAGACATTTAACAGCCTCTCTGGCCACTGGACGCTAGATTCCAGTAACAGCACCTGCCCGGCCCCCACTCCAGTATGACAACAAAAGCATCTCCAGACATGGCCAAACGTCCCTTGGTGGTAAAACAGCCTCTGCGTGGGAACCGCTGCCGAGCTCCTTTCTCCTTCGGGCTTCAGCACTGGCCTCTGCCTGGGTACTCATCCTCTGGCTGTTTCTTGTCATTCAGATCTCAGCTTAAATGCCACTCTTAAAAAGGCCTTTCTTGAGCAGCCAGTGTAGAATAATCGCTCAGTCACTTTGACCTTTTTAAAAAGTTAGGTATCTAGCACCACTGTTCTCTAATGGCTTGTGTGTGCATGCATGTGTGCATGTATGAGGTCTGTCTTTTCCCCTGGGGACATCTACATCATGAGAGCAAGAAACTTGAATGCCTTTCCACTGTTCTAGCCCTCTGTCTAGAATAGTGCCTGGCACATAGTAGCGGCTCCAATAAACGGGTGAGTGAATGGATGTTGCCACTGCAGTGGACAAACCAAGTCTATGATGATATTGAACATCGGTTCCATACAAGGAGGACCAGAAGATCTGGCCAATACCTGGACAGTACAGAATTTGTGAACACCTTTGGTAAGGACACGTTTTTTCCAAGGCAAAGAATGGAAACCACATCAGGGATTGTGAGACAAAAACTGATAGTGTGTCCAGAAGGCACCCAAAAGTTAGAGTCAAAGCTGAAGAATAAGATGGAGATCAAATATTCCCCCGTACTTACCCCAAAATGAATGTAGCTGGATGACCCCCTCTTCTCTGAGAGCAGTCTTCTCTCCAGCACCATATTCCCATTTCCTTGGTCTCCTTTTTTAATGAAGCCATTATAGGGATGGTGAAGGCCTGGAACTGCCTAAGTACTTATAATTCTGAGACTCTCAAGAGGGATTATAGTCTCTTCTTTTAGCAATTCCAAAATCCCTTTGAGCCCCTGCCTACTGAACCCAAAGAACAGTCGAGTAGAGTAGCATGGAGTGATTTTATACATCTTCAGTGTGCCCAGTCTGTCTAAGTGGCTGGCAAAATGTGCAGTTTAAAATGATATGTCTATACTAATTTATCTCTCTTCAGTTCCATTTAGGGCCAAAAATTAGAGATTTTTTGAAAAAAGTTTACTGTAAGCCCCATTTGAATGTGTGCTAAGTAAGCACATGTCAGACATGGGGGTGCTTTGGCCACCAGAACTAATTTGGCTGATCCGCCTTCCAGCTGGGCAGGCCCTGGCATTCTACCTCTGTTCCTCCTACAGCTTCCTGAGCAGCTTCCTGGATTAAAGTCTTATTCAGTCAGAGATATATATACATGGCTCCGTTGTCTACTACTACTTGGTGTTCATTTTGCTTTTTACAAACCCTTTCATAAAAATTTTAAGTCTTGACTGTTTTAAACTCAGAACATTTTAAAGACCTTTGGGTTTGCTACTTTTTCATATAATGCGAGATCCATAGCCTCCTAAACTGTCCATAATTATATAAAGGGCTTGAGGAAGTTGAAGTCTTCCTTTAGTCAGTCTTTACCATGTGACAAATGGCACAAATTACTGGGAATATTAATCTCATCTGGAGCATTAGTATTTTGATCCTTATAATCTAGCATGAGTCACTGAATCCTTAAATCAAGTTTCAGATATTCTGGTCAATATGTTAAAGAAAGAAAAGAAGAAAGCTCAAGATGCTCGCCACTTACCCAGTATGGATAGCAGTGAGCTTAGACACTCGCCGAGCTCACCCTTCCCGTCTGGGAACCTAAAGAGTTCGAGGACTTTACTAGCCTCAACTCCCACACAGGCCCAGGACGTCAGCACTTGTGGGCCCAGATCCACTTTGCTGTACAGAAAAACAGGTTGGTTTTTAAAATTTATAAATGCAAACTATAGAACCTTAAATAGAAAATGCAGACTATTTTAAGTTATATATATGAAAAGTAAGCAAAATGTAGATGATGGCAATTTTATTATATTCATCATCATTGTAATTCTTATCATTTTTATTATTACTAATAATCTTGAAGTTTCATTGTTGTGGCAGCAGCAATAACCAAAAACCCCAAGGAAAGTTTATCCATCTTAAAAAAAAAAAATTGCCAGTATTCCTCCATTGTGGAATTCACAGTAGCATCCTTTAGTTTTAAACATACAAGGGTGAAGCCTCTAACAGTTTATTTGTTAGAATTACCTTGTATAGCTATCAGATCTTTTAAATGAAATACTAGTTTCCAAAACTGATGACTGAACTGAAAGAGAGTATAAATTGTTATAGGGTTCCGAGGCAGAAATAGATGGGTCAAGGGCAACAGTAGAAAAGTTCACTTTAGAAAAAAGTAAAAGCTTTCCTCTGATCTAGCAAGAATAAGGACAGGTGTTCTTTACTGATGAATGACACAGCATTTATTTCTACATCCAAATGAGCTATCTGCAGCAAAATCATGTAAGAATATTACCACAGTCCACCTTACAGGACAAGAAACTAACAAAACTTGTCAGATAATAGGATCTGACAGGGTTGGGCCAGCTCAGAGGCACCTTCCCCATGTGTAGCTTTTGGTAAGTGTCTTGGTACTGAAACTACAGAACCATGCTGGAAGGCCAAGTTGGTTTGTGTAGTTTTGTCTTTTCTATTAGACCAGCAGAGCACGATATACAGTCATGTGACTGACCTTTCTCTTGAAGACACTGAAGAATCTGAAGTATGGAATGTTCTAGAACAAAGGGGTGAAAAGCTTCCCTTTTTTGACAACACAGGTTGAAATTTTGTATATAAACATTTGCTGGGATGTGCAACCTGTCATGCATGGGTTTCTAAAGTATCTAGATTGGGAATAATTAGAGTATGGTACTCACTGAGAAGGACAATTTTTAGTTGATAAAGACAAGAGTGAGAAGCCTGGAAATGTATTTTGTGATATTACATCCTTTTACATCTTAATTCAAGAAGGACAATTTTTAGTTGATAAAGACAAGAGTGAGAAGCCTGGAAATGTATTTTGTGATATTACATCCTTTTACATCTTAATTCTAAAGCCTCCTTGCTTTGAATATTTCTTTAGCAACATGGTAGGATAAATTCAAAATCGCAGGAAGTAAAAATGCTTTTTCTACCATTTATGGTAGCAGTAGACAAGGAAAAGCAGTTACTCCTCTCCGGGATTGTTCTCCATACAGCATTCCTACACTCTACTATGGATAACAGCTGGTGGGGACAAAAAGAGCCCCTTTGAATTAGTGAATTCATTAGATCAGCTATCAATTTATTCATTCCTTTACTTATTCAACATATATTCATTGAGCACACTTTGCTCTTGGTACTGTACTAGTTATTATTATTATTATGGCTAAAGCTTATGGAGCCCTAATCTTTTTATCAGGTACTATTCAGAGTTCTCTGCTAGAACGAACTCATCGAATCCTTATCCTAAAAGTCCTTGTTTTGCCCTCATATTACAGATGAAGACATACATGGACAAACACAACTTCTAACCTCACAGCACCTGTGGACCAACAATTAATTACAAAAGTATGCCTCTGTATTGCTGAGGGAGCACACACCTCAAGTTAAGACCCAAAAGATCCAAGCAGGGGAATGGGGGACAGGGTAGTAAGGCTGAAAGGGCTATTGCAAGCACAAGGAAACTCTTGAGTAGTTTTTAGGGCCTTTGCAGTGGAAAGGAGCCTTTTAGGAACTGAAAAAGCCAGATGGTTGGGATTCGGAGAGAGGCTGGAAGACACGTTGAGTAGCATGTAGAGAACAGACTGACAGAGGATACAAGTTCCGCATGACCAGTTAGCAGGCCACTGCAGTATAGTAGTCCAGGCCAAAGGATGGGGGAGACAAGAGAGAGGAACGGGGATCAGAGGCTTATAGGAGGTAGAGTAGTAAGGCTGGGTGACTAAAGGATGTTTGGGTACAAGTGAGGAGTGGCCCCTAAAAAGTCCTGGTGGCTGGCAAGGCTCTTCATGGAGGAAAGGAACAGTGCCTGCCCTGGCCCTGCAACAACTAGTATTGTTGACTCTAGAGAACAAAGCACTGGCATCTCTGCTGGAATGAAAGGTCACAGGCCATGCCCCTGGTAACCCCATGCTCAGGATGGAAGGAACTCTGATCACTGTGGCCTTTTCCAAAGGCACGCCACTGTGCCTGTGTAGAAATGGCCTTGGACATCACTGCCCAGCCCCTTGCTCTGTGGCAGGCCTCTTCTGTTTCTATTTTCTCTTGCCCACACCATCTCCCTTCTCGTAATTCTTCTTCCCCACATCATTTCATAGTCTCTCTCCTAACTCGTAATTACAGTCAACTTTCTCAGTAACTCTTTTCTTCCCTTGAAACTGCTATCAAGACAGACTGCAGTTTTGTTTGGAGAATGAATTAGGTTTACTTTGAATAGAAAAATCACTGAAAAAATAATGGAAATTGTTTGTAAAGTCCAAGTACAAATGAAGTAAAAGAGTTTTGGAGAAAAGCCTCATAGTTGAAAGGATTTTTGAGTTGTTTTAACTGTCATTGGATATAGTTCTAGCAATAACTTTTAGTGGGAGTAGGCTCACAAATGGATTGATAATGATCTAACCATTTGGAGGAGGGATTGGTGGGGGGTTGATTTTACTTTTTGGCTGAACTACAGATAGGATGAAAATTGCTGTGGATGGATCAATGCTGCAAAGCAACAGGTAACAGGATAGTTTGCTACAATGTTTGAGATCCTAGGAGCTGATTAGGCTTTTATTGCTGCATTATTTTATATGTGAGAACCTTGTGTAAATTAAACCAAATACAAAGAATTAATAACCATGTTGTATTGAAAGTATTTCTGCTTGTGTAGGGGTTGTCAATTTCTGTCAGCTATTCCTGGGGCTGTTTTTAGTGCAGAAAACAAGTAAAGTTGACCTTTCACTGTGAGACTGCTGTGAAACTGTCTCCCCTTTGATGGCTTTCCCCCTTTTTCCATTCACCCCCACTTTATGCTAAAATTGACTCCTTTCAAATTTCTTGTGTTAAAAGAAAATGAAACCAAGTTCATGGTTCATGGAGAGCCTCACACAGTGGTTGTGCACACAGCCTGCCAAGGCACAGGAAGGTTAGGGACTTTGGGGCTTTTTACTGTTGTTTTGGAGGTTAAATGTCTGTTGTGGTTTCAAATAATGACAGGGATTTGTTCAGTGCTACAGTTTAAAAAGAGTCATGTTGTTCTCTTTAAAATAGCAGGAGTTTTATAGTTTTTTTAAATTGTTGTTTGTTTCTGTTTTAAGTTCTCTGTAGGTTCCAAATAGCCACCTGAACCAGTCAGTATTCCAAAAGCCCCTGATGACTCATCACATCCTTTAACTGTTTGAGATGCTAACAGAACCTGCTCATCACAGCTGATGTCACTGGCATTTTGAAAAATGAATTGAAAACCAGAGCCACTGCCGGGAAGCTCCCGGCTCTTTTCTCATAGTCTGTGAGAGTGTGTTGAATCCCCACTATGTGCACAGCAGGTCCCAGGGTGTATGTTGTAGGAGGTGACGAGGCAAACTGAGAAGTAGTCTCTGGCTCTGGGAGTTACATTTAAACAGTGGAGGCTGGCTTGGTACCCAAAGAGCAGAGAATAAAATAACAAGTGTTATATACAAGTGGAAATTCAAAAGAGAAGAGAAGAATTTTAAAAAGTAGGTCAGGAAAAGCACTACTGAGCAAGTGACATGGAAGTCAGGTCTCAAAGGATTGGTAGAATTTAGACATTCAGAGATGAAGGGAAGAACATTCTATAACATTCCAGGTTTAAAGAATATTATGAGCAAAGGCTTGGAAACAGGAAAGCAAGGAAAAGTATGTAGCATTGGCAGGGGTATTTGTCTAGCTGGAGCCTTGGAGATGTACAGGAAGTCAAAGAAATAAGGCTAGCAAAATAAGTGGGAAATTGTTAGGACAGTTGCTTCAGGGAGAGTGCATAGAGGAATAAATGAGAACTTCCCCTTTTAGCTTTAACTAGCAAAATAAGTGGGAAATTGTTAGGACAGTTGCTTCAGGGAGAGTGCATAGAGGAATAAATGAGAACTTCCCCTTTTAGCTTTATCATGTTTTCATATTGTTTGAATTTCTTACATTTCTTATTGAGTAAATAGGGCCATGTTATGAAAACTCTTGAAGTCCAAGCCAGGGAATTTTTTCACCTGGTTGCCAGGGAACCACCAGTGCAAAGAGGGCCTGGTGACAGCTGTGCTCTGGGGAGGTGTTCTGGGAGTGTCTTCGGGGTATATTAGAGATGAGGCACCTGGAGACTTGACTGTATGGTTTGGGAAGTATCATAATAGTCCAAGGTAGGAGTTATGGAAACAGAGAAGAGGTAGGAATAATAAAGGACGTTACAAAGGGAGCCCTCAGAGGTTCTTCATGGCGTAATGGACAACTCGGTTCTTCTCTCTCTTCCCAGCTTCCTAAGTTCTGGCACTGAGAATGAGCTACAGGTACAGGCGGACAAGGATGAGGCTTCAAACCTGGAGTCAGCTCCTTGAGTTTGCTTTACTCTTGCTCAAAGGAATACCCTTTAGACCAAAAGCTACGGTTATAATGGTCAATATCCCCAATCCACTAAGTTGAAAAGACAAGAGAAGTCAGGGGAGGCAAAACTCACCCATGAGGTAACCAGAGACGAAGAACAGAGATCAGATTCGATTCCTTTCTAGCTCGCTGTGTTACAGGCTTCAGGCACAAATGTCCACCTCTTGCTTTTCAAATATCTCACGATCCTTCTCACCCTCTCTTTTGCAACTATCCACCCTTTATATTTCCATTTTCCCATAAATGTAACTGAAGAGACAGTCAGTACATAGAAGGCCAGTCCTACTTCTGCAGAGCACAGTACTGACC